CAGGGGTTACAGCTGTGGTAACGGTTGTTTGATTTTTTGCGGTGCGCTGCCTGTCGTGCTTGTTTTTATTTTCTTGCAACATCGAAGCGGGTGCGCCAGACAAACAGGAGAGAATTTGTCCCGACGACAGTACACAAATAAGCAAATAAGTGAGGTGCAGAAGAAAATGAAGAACCAAAGAGCGCCCCAAGACAACAAAAAGAAAACTCAACTCTGCCCACGCCCATGCTGGAACTTCACTCAACAGTACAGTAATAGTGTCGATCCATTTCGTTCTTTGTTGGCCCCGTAAGCGTGGGCGCTACACCATAAATCGAACACAACCTCATTAGTGCCGGTACCGGCACTAATGAGGTATTGGCCAGCCCTCAATAGTGCCGTTTTGGCACTATTCGCAATAGTGCCGGGTGCCCGATTTCGTGCCGGTGAACGCTCTGTGCACGTACCGGCACTAAAAGGGTCCCTCGACTGTACACATACACATGTCCGCGTACCGCATACATACTGCAACCGCCCAGATGGTTGTTTGTCATCTCACGCCCAGGGAGATTCCCCGGTAGCGTGTCAGTGCTGTACCACGTCAGCACGCCAGCACAGACTGTCTGCGTCACCGCCTAGTCAGGTCGGTTCTGCGTCATCAGGGCTGCGGAGTGGCGTGCTGTGCACACCCTCTTCACCCCTCCTCTGTCACTCTTCTTCTTCCCCTCTCTTCCCGTAGACGACACCGTTGGCTCTTCCTAGAGAACTACTCCTGTCCCGCAAGTCTGTACACTAGCGGCTCTCCACCGTCTCTTCGGAAGTCTCCTCTGGTTATACAGTCGAGAGAAGGTTCAACCCCTTCCGTCGGTCTGAGATAGGTCACCCTTATCTAGCGTCAGCGGAACCTTTGCGGTATCACCCGCACGGTCACCGCTCTTGTGGTCCCCTCCCTAGGACCCGATTCAATACTGTCAGACAACAGCATCATGGCGGATTTTGGTGCGATCCTTGATTGGGAACAACAAACCCTGTCTTTTTCGTCCTTTGGTTTGCAAATACCAGCTGTCCACCGCACCAATTCGTCCAGTCCCTCACGTAGAAGTCGTCGCCACGACCCCTGCACCGATTGTCGTCCACCGGAAGACCTCGGATCGTTTCCGAACAAGACTTGTCCCACGACGAAACACTCAGTCCTTTCAAAAACATTGTCATTGCCCGTACTCTAGCTACGTGGCATGCTTCCGATGGATCTGTAGTTGTCCAAATCGCCAATCCTTCGTCAGATGGCGTCGGACGTCCGTCTCTGTGATGGCCTCGGTCTCGGTCAAATGTCCACAGTGACTGTCACTGAACCTGACCAACTTCATGTCAATGCTGTCGCGAATACACCCGCCACCGATGACGAACTTCGCCACGCCAAGTTCGAACCCAAAGGGCCTCTGTCCAAAGCCTTCGATAATACCACTCTCACATCCGAGCAACAACAAGCTGTCCTCGACTTGTGCGCAAAATACCGTCCGGGCTTTTACCTGTCAATGTCCGAATTCGGCCGCTGCATCACTGCAGAAGCCACGTTCCCCGTGCCACGGCACACGTCCTGTCGATCGTCCGCCGTACCGTCCGAATCCCCGAGTCGCAACTGTCTCCGACAAATGTGTCGCCGAAATGCTCGAGTGGGGAATCGTTGAAAAACGGCCCAGCGCTTGGGGAAGTCCATGCACCCTCGTCGCTAACCAAAAACGGCAGTCCCCGTTTCTGCGTAGACTACCGCCACACCCTCAACCGCCACATCGTCTGTAAAACCTGGCCCATGCCCAACCTCGAGTCCTGCCTGGATGCCGTCGGCCAAGCTCTCTACAACGTCGCCGACATCCCCGGCGCATTCTGGCAGATCCCCGTGGCGGAGGAGCACATGGACCGTACCGCGTTCGTCACCCCTACCGGCAAGTACTGTTTTAAACGCATGCCGTCTGGAGTAGCTAATGCATGATGACTTTTCCAACATGTCCTGTCTTTCGCTCTAGGTCACCTAGGTCCAGACTCCGGTGTTCTTTCGTACATGGACGATTTGATCTGTATCAATCACACGTTCGAAGCTCACCCGTCACCTCTCGAGAACATGTTGGAAGCATTGCAAGCAGCAGGTCGTACGCTCAAACCGTCGAAAAGTCAGTTTGATCAGAAAGAACTCGACTATTTGGGTCATGTCATCTCTGCAAAAGGCATTTCCGTCAGCACCGACCGTATCGATGCCATTCGAAAATTGCCCACACCCACCTGCACCCCCGCACCCCCCCCGAACAATCATCGGGGTTGGATTTCGTCGCTTGGCAACGACGTTGTAAATCAAGCCGCCCCCCCGGTGTTTGCCATCGGAGTTGGGTTTTCGTCGCTTGGCAACCACGTTGTAAAACAAGCC